GCCTCAGAACAAGCGTATGGTGCCTGTATTTACATAAGAAGCACGGACCTCGATTATAGACATCATGTCAGGCTATTGTGTGCAAAATCGCGGGTGGCCCCACTCAAGGTCATATCGTTACCCAGACTCGAACTTTGTGGCGCTTTATTGTTATCCCAATTATATCAGCGAGTTATTCATTCATTGAGCACCAAATTCGATAGTTTGCATTTCTGGTGCGATTCCACTATAGTTTTGTCCTGGATCGCAGGAAGTCCCAAGCAATGGTCAACTTTTATCGCCAACCGCACTGCAGAGATACAAAGGTTAACGGAGGGAGGAGAATGGCATCATATTCGTTCCGAACTTAATCCTGCAGACGTAATCTCCCGAGGAGTAGACCCCGACGAAATTCAAAACTCCATGCTTTGGTGGACTGGTCCCAAGTTCTTGCAAGAAGAGTACGAAGTGGTATCAAAAAATGCTCCACGTCTGCTCCGACCCGAAGAATTACCCGAGGTGAAGCGCACCACCATCGTTCTATCGGTCTCGACAGAAGAAAAATTAAACATCATCGACAAATTCTCTTCATTGAACCGACTCAAACGGGTATTCGCCTATTGTCTTCGCTTTTCACACAATGCAAGAAAGGGAAGGAAGGATCGCGAGGCTAGAATACAAGGACCATTGCGAGTGGAAGAACTCCAATATAGCATGCAAGTCATTCTCAGATTAACACAAGGAGAAGCCTTTGCCGAGGAAATCAAACTGCTCTCCCAAGGAAGAGAAATATCACGCAAAAGTAAGATACTCTCTCTTCGTCCATTTTTGGACACCAACGCTCTTCTACGCGTAGGAGGAAGACTACAAGAAGCTCCTCTGGATTATGATCAAAGGCACCCTATAATCCTGCCGAAGGATCGTCATCTCACGAAACTAATCGTTAAGGAAGATCATCTAAAAAATTTGCATGCAGGAACACAAACTCTATTAGCAATAATACGTACACGGTATTGGCCCATATCGGGAAAGGGCACTATAAAGAGAATTCTCCATAAATGTCTCACTTGCTATTGTTTCAGTGCATTACCACTCAAGCAATTAATGGGAAGCCTACCTGCTTCACGAATCACACCCTTGCCTCCTTTCGCCAAAACCGGAGTTGACTACGCGGGTCCATTTACTATTAGAATAAGTCGCAATAAAACAGATAAGGCATACTTATGCATCTTCGTATGCTTCGTGACTAAAGCCGTACATTTAGAGATCGTTTCTGATCTCAGCACAGTAGCCTTCTTAAATGCGCTGAAAAGGTTTATAGGTAGGCGCGGCAAACCAATTAGCATCCACTCCGACAATGGAACGAATTTTGTGGGAGCCAATAACTCACTGAAGGAGATGTACAGCCTGGTCAAATCCAGTAATGTAGAGATTTACGATTATTTGTCAGAGCACGCAATTAAATGGAATTTCATTCCCCCACAATCGCCCCACATGGGTGGCTTATGGGAGTCGGCAGTTAAATCTTGCAAGGATCATCTGACAAAGGTTATTGGTTCAACTTCTTTGACTTTTGAGGAACTAACCACTGTTGTTGTCCAAGTGGAGGCAATATTAAACTCAAGGCCGCTGACGCCCATGTCAACAGACCCTGCTGATTTTAACGCATTGACTCCCGGCCATTTTATAATCGGGCGTCCGCTCGTTTCCATACTAGAGCCTGATCTTGCCGACGTCAAGGTTAATCGTCTTAAACGATATCAGGTCTTAGAGCAAATAAGGCAAAGTTTTTGGAGGCGATGGTCAGTCGAGTATTTGACGCAACTCCAACAGAGAGTCAAATGGAAGGAGGTTGAAAACACGATAAAGAAAGATACCATGGTTATCTTACGAGACCCTAATGTCCCGCCAATGCGCTGGCGGCTTGCCAGAGTAATTAACGTCCATCCAGGTAAAGATGGCCTAGTTAGGGTTGTGGACGTCAAAACAAGTGCGGGTGTATTTCAGAGATCTTTGTCTAAAATTTGCGTTTTACCAATAGAAGTTTGAATCCTTTGAAAGTCAAGGCTTTCAAGGCGGGCGGTATTGTTAAGCAATCAGTTTTCATTTCCTTTTATGATATCGTCATTGGCTATTTTGTATGTGCCGCCATGCGTTATTCAATATTTTAGTTACGTGGCCATTCTATGTTGCGTTTTATGTTTAAGTCGCCATCTAGTTTAAGGCTAAGAGTTGTTAACGGACCACGAGGAGAAGAAATCATATCGCTGTAACGCATAGAATAAAGCGGACGTACTCACACACCAACATCCGTTCCACGATTCATTATTCATAAAAATCCAAGCCATTTACTGGAAAATAAGTTGCGAGCACACACGAGAGCAACCAGAAAGCTTTCCGAAAGATAACTTGGAAATTAATATTGAAATGTAAAATTGAAATCATTCAGAAATATCTTTGAAACGTTTCATCAAAATCACATGTCATTGAAAACTTTCCAAAAGATACCTTGGAAATTAATATTGAAATGTAACATTGAAATCATTCAGATATATTTCTGAAACGTTTTATCGAAATCATTAATGATCCTTCTCACTGAAATATTTCAGAAATATTACAAAACATTTCAGAGAAATATTTCGTACGTAA